CGTGTCTCTGACCTGCCCAACACTCTTCGTTCTCTTTTTTGAAACCCTTTTGCCCCTCAGCTCTTCAGGCCCTGGGGCACTCTGCTTCCCTCCTGATCTTTTCCATTCATTCCCAGCAGCCCCCTTCACCAACTCCTGTCCCTAACGAGGGTGTTTTCTCCTGTGCAGTCAGCCCTTGGTCCACCCCGTCTCCTTTCTCACAAAGAAACTCTGCACTTCCGGGCTTCCCCAGCCACTACTATGTGTTATCCATACGGACGCCTCTGCAGGAGGGGCTGCCGGGAAGATGGTGCAGGGAATCCAGCCGAGGCAGCAGGTGGGGTCCCTGGCTGGGGGCCATGGCCACCAGGAAGAAGGGGGCCTCTTTCTTCATTCACACGAGGACCCTGGATGGGCTGGGCTGGGCCGGCCTTGCCAGTCAGCATGTCCAGCTCTCCGCTGACCATCCCTCCCTCGAGTCCTGCCCATGCCTCCAATTCAGCATGTCTGAAACAGCCTGGGGGCTTCTCTCCCTCTGCCACAGCCCACCCCAACCCCACCCTGTCTCTCTCCCGTCTGATGGCGCGGCCACCATTCTACCGCTTTGAAAGGCTTTCCCTTTCTTCCTTCTCCTCCTCGCTTCTCCCACCCTCGGTTAGAGGATCAGCACTGAATTCCTGGGCGTCTCTCGGGCCCTTAGCAGAGCTCCCTGCCTCTCACTCGGAGGAGGGGAGCTTATCACAGGCAACATCCAGGATCGTCTGGTGACATTTTTGGTTGTCACAACTGGGGTGGGGTGAGTGGGGGTGCCCCTGGCATCCAGTGGGTAGAAACCAGGGATGCTACTAACCATCCCACAGTGCCTAAGGCAGCCCCCACGGCACAGACTCAACAATGTCAGCAGTGCAATACCAGCAATATGGCCGGACCTATCAGCAGTGCTGCAGCAAAGAAGCCCTGCCAGCTCCAGCCTCTCGAATGCAGCCCAGTTATTTTTCTGCAAAAGAAACACACACACACACACACACACACACACAACACTCTTCATCAGGCTACTTCACTGTTCTGCCAGCTGCTAGAATAGTGACTCAGACCCTGAGTCACACCAATTAGTCTTGGCTCAGCCACTGGCCTGCTGTGTGGCGTCGGGCAGGCCCACGTCTCAGAACGCCACTGCCTCATCTATAAAATGGGGACCCACTGGGCACCTTTCAATCATGTTTAAATCAAGTTTCCTCTCTCAAGGTGATGGTTGCAGGCCTGTCACAGCTTGACCTCACCCTTCCACGCCTCCTCCACCATCTGCTCCTCCCTCTCCCATCATCTACTCCAGCCCAAGTAAGCTCAGCACTTCCCCGGAGGAGCACTGCCTTTTCCTAACCCACCCCCACCACCCCCACATCCCTGTACGAAGCTATGGCTTCCTGTGACTATTGTAACAAATGACCACAAGAGAGTGGCTTAAAACAACACATTATTCTCTTAGCGTTCAGGATTAATTCGGTTTCACCGAGTTAAAGTTCCTTCCGGAGGCTCTAGGGTGGCATCCGTTTCCTGGCCTTCTTCAGCCTCTAGAGCTTCATTCCTTGCATTCCTTGGCTCGTGGCCCCTTCCTCCATCTTCAAAGCCAGTGACGTGGCATCTTCTGGTCTCTCTCCTTCCATCACATCACCTTCCCCTCTGTCTGTGGTCAAACCTCCCTCTGTCTCCTTCTTATAAGAAGCCATGTGATGACATTGGGTCCACCCAGATAATCCAGGATAACACCGCACCTCGAAATCCTGAACTTAAATCATATTTGCCAAGCTCCTTTTGCCCCGTACGGTCACACCCACAGGTTCCAGGGATTCGGACCTGGAATCGTAGGAGGTCATCATTCAGCCCCACACACCCCTGTTCTGAAGCACCCTCCCCCGGCTCACTGAATTCTGCCCACCCAACAGCACCCACACCCAGTGGTTCTTCAACCAAGTGGCCTTACTCGCTCACTCCAGGAATGATGTCTCCCTCCTCTGAGACCCTCACCCTCCCCTCTCCTTCAGCAGTCACTTACACGCCACCTGAGGTCATTGCGTGTTTCCAGCAGGCATTTACACCTTGTCTGTCGGACTGAACTGCAAGCCCCTGGAGGTCTTGGCTTTTGACCATCCCCCACACTCAGCACCATGCTTTACACAGAGTAGACAGTTAATAAGTGTTCTGTTGATGGTTTATTTTCCACCTCCAAAAAGAAAGTTGGATGTGAGCTCAACCAAGGCTTATCAACTCCTTTTTTTATTTTTATGTTTATTTTTATTTTTATTTTTTTGAGACCGAGTCTCTGTCTGTTGCCCGAGCTGGAATGCAGTGGCACAATCTGGGCTCACTGCAACCTCTGCCTTCGAGGTTCAAGTAATTCTCATGCCTCAGCCTCCCAAGGAGCTGGAATTACAAACATGCGCCACCACACCCAGCTAGTTTTTGTATTTTTAGTGGAGATGGGGTTTTATCATGTTGGCCAGCCAGGCTAGTCTCAAGCTCCTGACCTCAGGTGATCTGCCCATCTCAGCCTCCCAAAGTGCTGGGGTTACAGGCGTGAGCCACCATGTCTAGCCTAAGCCACCGTGCCCGGCTGCCTATCAACGACTTTAAAACCACAGGTTGGATGACAGCTCATGTTGTTTTGATGGGATGGCAACGTTGCCTTCATCCACCTGTCTGCAAGCTTTGGAGTTGAATTGAATTGATACTTACATTCTTCCTTCTGTTTTTTTAAGGGTTCTCTTTGTATCTGATATATCTTCTGGAACATTATAAAAAACTTATGAGCCAGACCCAGGAACTTCAGGTAATTCTTTTAATTTCTTTTTTTCCAAAGTTCATTTCGGCCCCTGGTTGGCATTTATATAGCACTGTGCATTTGAAACCTGTTTTTTCTTTATCAGCTAGTCAGTCCACACCCTCCAACAGGTGAAATGATTTCTCTGTTTGCACACAAAGAGGTACAGAAAAAGTTGGCTAAGATCTCCCAGGAGGGTAAGGACAAGGACAGGGTGCTGCCATCTGTCTGGCCTCCTGGGCCAACCACACTGTTTGTTTTCCTCTGTCAAAGGCCCAGAAGACTTAACGCCATCAGATTGTTTTTTTCTTTTTCCGAGTCTCGCTCTGTTGCCCAGACTGGAGTACAGTGGCGCAATCTCGGCTCACTGCAGCCACTGCCTCCTGGGTTCAATTGATTCTTCTGCCTTAGCCTTCCAAGTAGCTGGGATTACAGGCGTCTGCTACCATGTCTTGCTAATTTTTGTATTTTTAGTAGAGATGGGGTTTCATTATGTTGGCCAGGCTGCTCTTGAACTCCTGACCTCAAGTGATCCACCCACCTCAGCTTCCCAAAGTGCTGGGATTATAGGTGTGAGCCACTGTGCCTGGCCTTAATGCCATCAGATTTTGAAAACTGTGTTTGTTAAATCCAGTGGACAAAATACAGCTATCTATAGTACAGGCAGCAGAATTACTAAAAGAAAAGAAATATTCTAGAGGCAAATGAGCTTTAGGGGTTATATCATTCTGATAACGATAGCCATAAGAGTGTTATATAATAACCACAAAACTTCAGCGGCATTCAGCAGTTGCTACTTACTGCTCACGTGTCTGGGGTCAGTGGCAAGGTGGCTCTGCTGACCTTGGATGGGCCTGCCCACTTGTCTGGGTGTTAGCTGGCCTTTGGTTGATCTAGACCAGCCTCAGCTGGGGCGACTCAGCTCCACGTGTCCCTCATCCCCCAGCAAGTAAACCTAGGCTGTTCTTAGGGAGACTGCAGAGGTAGAAGAGAAAGTGGCCCAATCACATAGTGTTTTTCAATCTTCTGCTTGTGTTATGTCTGCTAAGATCCCATTGGCCAGAGCAAGTCACATGGCCGAGTTCAGTGTCTGGAGGCAAAATATGGGCGGGCACTGCAAGTTACATAGCCCTAGACATGGATAGAGTGGGGTGAAGAAGGGACCACCGTGCCAATCAGCCACAGAGGCTTGAGTCCAGGGATTGGCAACTTTCTCTGTAAAGGGCTAGATGGTAAATATTTTATGCTTTGCAGACCATATTCATACCTCTTCCACTCTACTACAGTAAAATGAAAGTAGCCATAGACAATATGTAGGCAATGGGCGTGATAAGTATGCCACGGTTCCAGTAAAACTTTATTTATGGCGGGCACGGTGGCTCATGCCTGTAATCCCCAGCACTTTGGGAGTCCGAGGTGGTTGGATCTCCCGAGGTCAGGAGTTCAAGACCAGCCTGGCCAACATGGTGAAACCCCCATCGCTACTCAAAATACCAAACTTAGCCAGGTGTGGTGGTGGGCACCTGTAATCCCAGCCACTCAGGAGGCTGAGGCAGGAGAATCACTTGAAGCCAGGAGGTGAAGTTTGCAGGGAGCCAAGATCATGTCCCTGCACTCCAGCCTGGGCAACAGAGCAAGACACCAGCTCAGAAAAAAATAAAAAATAAAAAAAAAGCCACCTTATTTACAAAAGTATGCAGTGGACCCGATTTGGCCTGTGGGCTGTAGTTTGTCAACCCCTGGTCTAGTCCCTTCTCCTCATTTTTCAGATAAGGACAATTTCAGTGTCACACAGCTAATGGGCGAAGAATCAAGACAAATGTTCAAGCCTCCTGGCTCCTAAGTGACTGCTTTTTTTTTCCTCACACCCACCTACCACTTACTAGACACCTACTATGTGCTCAGCACTGCTAAAAGCTTTCCATCATTATCTCACTTAATCCTTACAACTCTAAAAGGTCAATACTGTTATTAACTTCATTTTCTAAATGAGGAAGTGTCTAGAAACAATTAGAGCTGGGATTCTTTCTAGATCCAGAGTCTGAATTCTTAACCACTGCATGCTGTGGTGTTCTGTGATTTTAAGAAACTTTTGGGTAAACCTTTGTCCCATGAAAGGTAAACAATTGGTAAACAAATGTGGAAAGACTTTTTAGTTAGGCCTGTCCCCCATCAGCATCGGTTTACTTTTCTCTCATTTCAGATCAAGTTCAACAGTTCTCAAGAAACTCAGCAGTCTTTACTGCAAGAAAAGCTGCGGGAGCATCTGGCAGAGAAGAAGCAGCTGAACGAGGAGAGGCTAGAACAAGAGGAGAAGCTGAAAGCCAAAATCAGGCAACTGACGGAAGAGAAGGCGGTAAGGTGGTCCCTGTCATTTGCTTTACTACTGAAAATTGATGAAATGGTCTTTTATATGGGAAATTGAGGGCATATGTACTTAGACAAATCTCAGCTACTCTGTTTGGTGCCGTGAAACTAAATTAATTAAACAGGGTGAATAAGTGGGGAGGATTTAACATGAAGTTTGAATTCTAAAACTCACAGCAAAATCAGCTTGAAAAGGCAGCGTGATTGAAATTTCAGGAAACGGTGCCTTGTTTGTGTACACATTGCAGTCAGCTTTATAAAATCTGAGTCATCGCTGCAGGTCCTGGTTTGTAGCTGACAGACTGTTTCTAAATGTGCACAAGATCAACTTCAGATGACAAATTTCAGTCTTTTGCTTTCTCTTTATACATATCAGGGAAAACAAATGGCCAAAATTGCTACTGACTTTTCTAGAAACCAGGCCAGTCAGAAGACAGCAGCATCTCTAAAACTGAAAGGTGCCCGTGAATTTTCTGGGGATCTGGTTAAGATGCAGTTTCTGTCTCAGCAGGCCTGAGACGCTAGATTTCCAACAAGCTCCCAGATGGTGCTGACGCTACCAGTCTGCAGATCCACATTTTCTTAGGGTGAAGTCTTAGAGGAAGATTTTCCCAAAGTTTCCTGATCAGAACCACCCAGATGTTTTGCTAAAAATACAGATCTTGGTCCCCACACCAGACCCGTTAAATCAGAACATCTGGAGAGGGCCAGGAAACTATATTATTTAATGAGCTGATTCTCATCACTGTCCTAGAGTTGGCCCTTTTTTTTTGTTAAGATGGGGTCTTGCTCTGTTGCCCAGGCTGGAGTGCAGTGGTGTGATCACAGCTCACTGCAACCTCAAACTTCCAGGCTGCAGTAGTCCTCCCACCTCAGCCTCCCAAGTACCTGGGACCACAAGCATATGGCACTACACCCAGATAATTTTTTTTTTTGGTAGAGATAGGATCTTGCTATGTTGCCCAGTCTGGTCTTGAGCTCCTGGACTCAAGTGATCCTCCCACCTCAGTCTCTCAAGTAGCTGGGGCCACAGGCACACACCACCACACCCAGCTAATATTTTTATTTTTTGTAGAAATGGGGTCTCTCTGTGTTGCCCAGACTGGTCTCAAACTCCTGGCATCAAGTGATCCTCCCACCTCAGCCTCCGAAAGTTCTGGGATTACAGGCGTGAGCCGCCGTACCCAAGGGTTGGCCCTTTTTGATATTCAGGGACCCCTCCCATGAATTTTACCGTCTTTATGACTTTTGTCATTTAGGAGATTAAAGATTACTAATGCCTTGCACCTCTCCTCACCGACTCTCCGCATTGTGATCTAAGTGGGGTGAGGGTGTGGCCCCTGCTCTGGGATTTCTAAGCACTCCCGGGTGGGTGCAAAGTGCAGCCACAGTTGTGAGCCACTGTCGTGGGTGGGTGTGGAGCAGCCTGTGCGTGCTGACCCTGCTCACAGCCCCCGCAAGATAGCAGCCCCAGATCCACCAGACCTCAACTCTTCCCAGATCTCTCCTTTCTTCCCCAGAAGAGGACGGGACCTGCCACCACCTCCATCTTTCCCCAGCTCCTCTGCCACACACACCTGCCCTCCAGACCTCTCCCCCTTTCATCTCCATCCTCACATGTGTGTCCAGTTACCCCAAGACATCAGTCTCCTCCTCCTCCCCCTTCTCTTTGCCTCTTTCTCTGCTTTTCTGCATTTGCGAAATAAAAGATTAAAAAGGAAGAACCATCTGACCAAATCATGTGCAATCCGCATAAAGGTAATATTAATGATAGCTATAAATCAAGACGGGCACATTTTGAAGGGCATTTAGATATGGAAGAAGCCAGCACTGTTCCACAGAGAAGAAAATAAAACCAGGAGGTACCTAGAAATCTTCAGGATGTTCACAGAACTCTCCACCGACTTCCTTTTCTCTTCTCTGATTACCTTCTCCTTTTAACATCGGCATTCCAAATGCCTTATTTTCTCTTTTTAATTTTGGATGGACTTTTTCCCTTGTCAGGGTCTGGTATTTCAGCCCCACCGTGTTAAACACTGCGTTGGGCGCCTGCCTAGTCTTCCTAGACACCCATGGCGACACTGGCCTGGCAGAGTGTTCTAAGAGCTGGCGTCAGCCCCTCTTTTAAACCTGCAAACCTCGATGCACCCCACCGTCCTTGCAGAGGGAGGAAGCGACATCAGGTGCCTGCCAGACAGACTGTGACACTCGAAGGTCACCCTTCCTCTGACAGTCGGATTGATGGACTTGACCCTGGGGACTTCTTGGAAAGTTACCTCTTGGACATCAGTGCCAGGTGTCCTGACTTTATGTGAGCCTTCCTTAGCCCTTCTGACTCCCATCACCTGCCCTTTCCGAAAAAAACATGTGTCCAGGCTCATTAAGTAGCCTCCCTCTCATGAATCTTGACTTGTTTGAGGACTTTGTTTCAAAGGGGGGAAAAAAAACGTCTGGGTTCCTCTATCAATCTAGCATTCTTTTCTTATTACCAGTTGTTGACAACAGTCACTTGATTTGTGCACACACCGATGCATTAGATCAGGGATTGGCCAAATTGTTCCATAAAGGGCCAGATAGTAAATATTTTCAGTTTTGCAGGTCATATGCTCTCTGCTCTTCTGCAAAAGCAGCCATAGACAATACACAGCAAGCACAGAGTGTTCCAATAAAACTTTATTCACAAAAACAGACCAGATTTGGTCTGTAAACCATTGTTTGCTAACCTCTGGTTTAACACAGGCTTCAGAATCAAATGGGTCAGAGTTAGAATCCCTACTCATGTGATTTACTAGTAAACTGGGTGGATTCCTTCATGTAAGCCTGTTTCCTCGTCTGCAAGGTGGGAAGCGTGGTTATCACTGTGCCAGCCATTTCGTGCTCATCATCCCATCCACCCCTCACATCAACCCAACACAGGAAGACTATTACTGTCTCCATTGTACAGGCAGGGCAACTGAGGCTCTGGTAGCTTTACTTCCCCAGTGTCTTACAGCTGGAAAGGATCAACCTGGGGCTCTACCCTGGGTCTCCTGACTCCAGAGCACATGCTCCGAGCTCCTAGACTCTGCTGCCCACAGCCTCCCCAGGGGAGTGTGGTGAGGAGTGAAGAGGTAGCCCATGCAGTGCCTGGCAGTGTCCAAATTCCTGCCATGGTAACCATGTCTATTAAACAACAGTCATTGGTTTCCAGGCTTTGGAGGAGCGCATTACGCAAGAGAGAAACAGAGCGAACGAGACTTTGGAGGAAGAACGGAAGAGAATGCAAGAGCTGGAGAGCCTCCTGGCCCAGCAGAAGAAGGTACGTGGCTCAGGGAGACAGAGTCAGCTCGAGCCCACATCAAGGCCCTGCAGCTAAGAAGGGTGGATCTGGGGCTCTGGTCTGGGCCCGCTGGCTCTGAGTTCCAGGGCTGTGCCGCCCACAGCCCCCCACAGGGAGGTGCAGTCAAGAGGGAAGAGGTAACCTATGTGGTGCCTGGCAGAGTCCAAATTCCTGCCACGGTAACCATGTCTATTAAACAATGATCCTTGACTCAGGCTTTGGCGGAAAGCGTTACCCAGGAGAAGAACAGAGTGAAGGAAGCATTAGAGGAAGAGCAGACACGAGTCCAGGAGCTGGAGAAACGCTTGGCCCGCCAGAAGGAGGTACGCCCGGGGAGATAGAGTCGGCTGAGGCCCAGTCGGCTTCAGGGCCATGTGGAATTAAGTTCAGAGCCGTTGATGATGGGGGTGAGAGTGTGGTGGAGCCCTCCTCATGGAGTTTGCGTTTGGGTGGACTCAGCTACTTCGGGAAGCGTGGGAGACTCAAGGGAACCCCAGAGTTGTAGCCTTGACAACCAGCTGGGAAAAAACTATAAACAGTGTAAAACACAGTCAGAGAGAGCGCTTGGGAGACAGGTAGGAATGGTGACATGGGCATCTTCTGTGTTCCAAAGCACAGAAACGGTAGAATGACAGAGTCATGGGACCTCAGGGCTGCATGGACCCTCCACCAGCATCCAGCCTTGAGCACCACCGCTGAGGAATGTTCTCCACCCCAGGGCAGTCCATCCCAGCATGGATGCCTCAGGCCAACAGAAAGTTTTCCCTTTAGGTTGAGTTGGGTCAAACTCTTATGCCTCAGAAGAGTATCAATTCTCCGCCCTCCCCTGCGCTCCCACGAGGTACGTCCACTTCCTCTTCCACACGATGACTCAGATGTGTGAAAATAGAGGCGCCCGTGCCCTGCATCTGCTCCTCCCCAGGCCCAAGCACCCTTGTTCCTCAGGTCCCTCACAGGACTGGAACCTGGTGCTGGCCCCCTCCTGTGGCCTGTGCTGCTCTCCAGAAGTCACAGACTAGGAAGCTCAGCAACTAAACAGGGTCTGTGGAGGTTACGTTTGGCCCCAGAATATTTTACTTTGAATTCATAGAATCTACTTAAAAGTTCAGATTTCCATCCACTCCCGAAAAGTCAGAAAATCTAGCCCTTGTTTCTACTTAGCAAAAATGGACTAGAAGCCTTACCGGGTAGCAGCAGTTTGCCACAGTTTTCACCACTCCCTATTGCGTTAAACACAGCCCACGTCATTTTTTGGTATCTGGGCTTCATAGGCATTTGAGTTTGTCACCCATCACCCATTTTCTTCCTAAAGGGAGGTGGCCAGAACCGCTGTTCTCCAGAGGTGGCCAGAACCACTGTTCTCCAGCCACGGTAGCCTAAGGGGAGGACTTTTCCCTCCCTCATTGAAGATGTTCTACTTCTGTTAATATGTCTAAACTAGCGTTTGGGAAAGCTCTGCCACATTTGTGGATTCATGTTTAGCTTGTGGTCACCCTCAGATCCCTGATCCTTTTTCATGTCTGCTTTCATGAATTCCTCAGTCCTGACACAGCACAGGGGAGTGCGGGCTTTGCAGCCAGATGAGACATGAGTTCGAATCCAAGCAGGGCTACTTCCTGGCTGCAGCAGACCTATCACTACCTCCCTTTTCGAAGGGGCAGCTGTGGGCTCAGATCTAGTGTATAATGGAGGGCCTGGCCCGGCTGCAGCAGACCTATCACTACCTCCCTTCTCGAAGGGGCAGCTGTGGGCTCAGATCTAGTGTATAATGGAGGGCCTGGCCTGTGGAATTATTGCCGAGTAAATGGCAGCTGTTGCTACTGTCTCTGCTGCCACTTGTGCCCCTTCTTCTGTTTGGGTATTTGTTTTTCATCAACATCGACTCCTCAAGTAAAATCCTTGCCCATCCATCACTGCAGTCTCTGGCACAGCTGTATCCTGCAGCCTCTCCCAGAGCATCACTGAGGTTTGCCCCCAAGTAATGCCTCCAGGGGTGGGGATGAGGAGCAGGGTCTCCAAGGAGTCACTTGAGTCAAATGCCCCAAGATGGGCCGGGCGCGGTGACTCAAGCCTGTAATCCCAGCACTTTTGGAGGCCGAGACGGGCGGATCGTGAGGTCAGGAGATCGAGACCATCCTGGCCAACACTGTGAAACCCCGTCTCTACTAAAAAATGCAAAAAACTAGCTGGGCGAGGTGGCAGGCGCCTGTAGTCCCAGCTACTCGGGAGACTGAGGCAGGAGAATGGCGTAAACCCGGGAGGCGGAGCTTGCGGTGAGGTGAGATCCGGCCACTGCACTCCAGCCTGAGCCACAGAGCGAGACTCTGTCTCAAAAAAAAAAAAAAAAAAAAAAATGCCCCAAGATGTCAACAGCAAAGGCCTGGGGAAGATCCTTGAATTTAGAGACTTTGAGGCCATGGGGCTCGGGAGAAAAATTCAAGCTTCATTGCAGAGAGGATCTGTGGTTGGGTCACCCTGGGTCTGTTAAAATGTCAGCCTACTTCTGGCAGAACTTCTCTGTGGCTTCCTATCGGGGAAAATTGAAAGAGCAGCCCCAGCCACAGGCTCCATTCAACTGCCAGTGGCTATTTGATTTTCTTTTTTTCTGTCTCCCAGTCTTCAGTACAGCGGCATGATCTTGGCTCAGTGCAACCTCTGCCTCCCGGGTTCAAGCGATTCTCATGCCTCAGCCTCCCAAGTAGCTGGGATTATAGGCGCATACCACCACGCCTGGCTAATTTTTTGTATCTCTAGTAGAGACGAGGTTTCACCATGTTGGCCAGGCTGGTCTTGAACTCCTAGCCTCAAGCGATCTGCCTGCCTTGGCCTCCCAAAGTGCTGGGATTACAAGCGTGAGCCACCGCACCCGGCCTGATTTTCTTTTCATTAGCTCTTCCGCCACATTATAAGGGTTTTTAAGGTCAACAGAATCACTAGGTCATAATCTGGATCTTGAGGTCATGTTCAAAGTTAATCCCCGTTATCCGTTGTGAACTTGGAAGCACGGCAACTGGGTATGTAGGGCCTGCGTGTGAGCCAGGCAAGGCCTCTCTTCCCAGTAGTACCTGTCCTGGCTACAGAGGAGCTGCCCAGAGGAAGGCCTGGCGAGTGTAGACACAGAGTCAGACACAGCAGAGCCAACCCTAAGTCCCTAGGAAGTGCCTCAAAGTCTCTTTCACAGTTCACAGGAAAATGTCCTACCTCAAAACCCACTTCAAAGGATCCAAATAAACATGAAATTCTTATGATGTCACTTTTCTTCTGCTTTAAGGCTGGTGTTGGGACAGCAGAGTGTTGGAGTTTTGTCAACTACTTTTCACTGCAAAGTATACAATATCCTCAGCCATATTCTGGATTAACCACTTTTTGCGGGCTCGTCTGGGGCCCTCACCACTGGTTATAATGGCAACCATCTTCCAAGTTCTAAATACCTGACAGTTAACCTGGTGTTTGAAAGACAAGCCATTGGAAAATAGAGGTGGCCCTTCTCGTGGTGACTGGAAACAGGCTGGCAACATATTTCCTTTGGTGATTTACACTAAGCTGTTTAGTTGAATAGCTTACCAGCAAGTAACTTCCCAGACAAAACTCCTTGATTAGGGCACTCAATACTGGCCACACTTTCGTCCCTGCATCCTACCAGAACATTGCTTGTCCCTTCTAGAAATTGGCATATTGTGGCTCATTAATCCAACATACTGCCCTTCTCTTGAAACCGAATTCTGTTGAAGAGATTTATTTCAATAATGGAAATTCCATTATTAACGAGACTCTTCTTTTGATCAGAGAGGCTGCCTGGCCCCGTGACAGGAAGCTGCGCCTGCTGCTCCCAGGTTCCCTGTTGAGAGCTCTTTATTCAGGCTCCGTGCTTTCCTCTGCGCAGACTTCAGATCCTGGCCTCACCTCTGACAAAGGGTGTGGCTCTGGGCCCTCAGACTTCCTGCTCCTCGGTTTCCTCATCTGTAAAATGGGCACTCTCAGCACTTCTCTGACAGAGTTGCTGTGAGACTGAAGGGCTGGCCAGGGGCCCAGGCATATCTAATAGCCGCCCCAACACTTCGGCTGTTATTGTTACTATGATTATTATGATCATTACTAGCAATTTCCCCCCTAAATGTGCAGGCCACCAAGTGCACTGGTCGTTGATTTGCAGGTTTTGGAGAGCAGCATAGCCCACGAAAAAAGAAAAGCAAAGGAAGCCTTGGAGTCAGAAAAGAGAAAAGTTCAGGATCTGGAGAACCACTTAACCCAACAGAAGGAGGTATGAGCAGCAGCAGGAAAGAACCTTCTGGAAGGAGCTACTGGGAGATCCCTGGGAGAGTCTGGTGGGAAATCGGGCAGGTATCACAGTCACGCCTCCCTTTGAAGTGGCCAAGATCTGCCATTGACTGGCCATGTGACCTCTGGCAGATCGCCACCTCCCCATCCCTCAGTTTCCTTGTCTGTGAAATGGGAATGCTAAGTCCCTGCCTCATCAGATTAGATGCTCTCAGGTGTAAAGTACATAGGACTGCACCCTGCATCCTAGAGGGCCCTCGGAAAGTTCTTTTTGCTCTCTGGTTCAGCTACCTAGGAAAGAGGGATCCTCCCCAGGAGAGAACCCTGGGTTTCAGCCTGGGTCAGGGGCTTAGCGAGCATCGTCCTCACGGTAGAGAGGCATGTATGCCACACCCGGCATGGCCACGGGAGAAAGCACTGCTCCTGGCCTGGCCTGCTGGTGTCGTGGACTCCGGAGCAGACCTTCCCTGGACTGGCTGAGGAGTAAAGGACACAAAGAGCACAAAAAGAGATGGCACAAGTGAGTGCATAGTAAGCCCACGTGGTTGTCACATCAGATAAGCCGCAGGAATCAGCGCCTTCTGGAATGGACAAGCAGATGGGCACCCCAGGACAGAATGACACCAGGGAGGAAAGGAGGGGTCAGAGCTGGAGACATCCACATCCACCCACCCCAGTGCCACCAACCTAGGGACCTGGCCCACCAGACACACCTGCCCAGAGCAGCATGAGAGGCAGGCCCTCAGGTCAGCCCGGATGCCCGGGTCACACCCTGGAAGTAAGAGCCGGGGAGCCAGGAGGAGGTCACTCAGGGACCCACATGGCATCTCCATGAGCTGGGCTTTGGGGACAGAGGTGGCACAGACACACACCTCCTGGCCCCCACAGAACTTCCGGAAACAGAGCTGATGGCTCAGTGAATGCTTTGATTTGGTTTCATTCATCTACCCATAAATATTCATTTATCCACCTGCTGATCTCAGTTTCATCCATCCACCCACCATGTGCCAGGCCCGGTTCTGGGTGCCACGGACATCGCAGTGAGCAAGACAGACCAGGGCCAGGCTGCCCAGAGCTTACATCCTAGCGCAGGGAAACAGACAGCCTTCGGGAAGCAGGGGCGGCTCCAGGGCCACAAAGCCAAAGCAGGCTGGAGGGTGCCCGAGGGCAGTACCACTCAGGAAGTGACATTCCAGTGAGAACTGGAAGGGAAAAGGAGCCTGGGGGCAGAGAGGACCACTGGATAAAGTGGCACAGGTGTGAAGGTCAGGACCTGAGCTTGCCAGGAGGTGGGGGGCGGTTCGGTGGGGTGGGAAGGAGACTGGGTGAGGAATGAAACCAAAGCTGGCCCAAGATGGGAGGCACCAGAGCACAGGGGAAGGAAATAGGTGGGAGAGGCGGGGAAGGAACTGCAGAGCTTGGTGGGCTAAAGGGTTCATTCTGGGCTCAAATCTCAGCTCTGCCCTAACAGGCTGTGTGACCCTGGGCATGCCCCTTGCACTCTCCGTGCCCTTATCTGCCATGTGGGTGTGGTGGCAGAACCGCCCTAGAGGTGTAATATGAGGAGTCAGTATATTCATGGCTTGGGATGCACCTGCCCTGTGAGGTCAGAGTCCAGGTGGGGTGGGCAGTTGAGTGGGCACAGCAGGGTGGGGGCTGCACAGCCTGAAGCGAAGCCCTTGGCAGCGGGACAATGCCAAGCCCATGGGGGAAGTGAGGTCAGAGTCCAGGTAGGCAGAGGGAGCACAGACACGCTAAGGGGTGGGACCCAAACTGTGGTCACGGCTACCCCCAGAGCCTCCCTTATACATACGGGCCAGGGATGGGGTCCCGAAGCTCAGGCTACAGCCAGGCAGTGTCTTGGGCTCTGTGCCAGCCTGGTTATGAACATATAAACTCATCTTGCCAGGTGCGGTGGCTCACGCCTGTAATCCCAATACTTTGGGAGGCCGAGACAGGCAGATCACTTGAGGTTGGGAGTTCAAGACCAGCCCAGCCAACATGGTGAAACCTTGTCTCTACTAAAAATACAAAAATTAGCCGGGCCTGGTGGTGCACGCCTGTAGTCCCAGCTGCTCGGGAGGCTGAGGCAGGAGAATCACTTGAACCTGGGAGGCGGAGGTTGAAGAGAGCCGAGATCATGCCACTGTATTCCAGCCTGGGTGTCAGAGTGAGAATCTGTCTCAAAAAAAATGTAAATTTAAATTTAAAAATTAGAAAAAAGAAAAAGAAAAAGAAAAAGTCTCCTGCCTCCAAGTGGGCAGGGCTTGAATCAGGGCCCAGAGGCCGAGCGGTTAAGGCGAGGGCCCTGGCATCTAAGCCTGCACCACCGCTTCCTGGTGATGACACCTTGGAACACTGCTTGTCTTTATACTGCCTCCTTAAAGGAGCCTGCATGTCCTTTCTTGTGAAACGGGGATAATCAGATAGATGCTCTCTGGGGTTTGCAGATTGGATGCACTAACACATTCTGTGCACTATTTTCATTTGCAACACACCAAGCAGTGCATAATAAGAGAAGGGGAAGAGCCCTCACCACAGGGCATGCGGAAGGGTGTGGGTGGCCTTGTAGGACGGGCAGGACTTAGACCTGCAGGGCAAGGATTGAACCATCTTAAGTGAAGACTTGACAGTGAGAAAAAGCCAGGTCTGCATTGGGAGATGTGGTCGGGTAGGGGGGCCTGGGAGTTGGATATGCAGAGCCGGGTGGGGTGGGTGGGTGCCACTCACATGATGTTAACACCGGCAACATTGGGAACATCGTCTTTCCTTCAGGACCACACACATCTTGAGTCTCATACTGTCCCTTGAATTAGGATATTCCCATCTCCTATCACTGCATGCCCTGTAATAATTTTCATTCGTTTTTCTTTTTGCCAATAATACCTGTGCATTAAAGAAAATTTAGAAGATATAGACCTGTGAAAAGAACAAAATAAAAGTTGCCATAATCCCAATTCCCCCCAAATAACCGTCACTTACATTTCAGTACATACTCCTCTGGTCTTTTGTTGTACATATACATATATATTTAAAATCCTTTTCTTGTGAACTTTATGTTGGTGGGGGCGGGGGTGGTGTGTAATTGCAAGAGTTTCAACAGCTGCAGATAGAGTTTTTCAAGCCCTCCCTAGCTGTTTACCTCCCAGGGCATGTACAGGTGAGTCTGGGCCTCCGATTCCCTCCCCGTCACCAGGTATATGGCATTTGTGTTCTCAGCTACAAACTGACCTAGACTGGAATTTTGGGAACCCATGCCTTTGTAGACTGGAAGTGGCTGCCTCGGTCCTCCTTTGGAGCCATTGACATGGGTCTACAGAGACAGAAGGCACCTCCCCCGCACTGTCTGTCCTGCCCCACCTCCCAAACAGCCAGGTACTTCCAACAAAGGCCAGCATCGGTGCCAGCATATGCCAGTTTATTCAGTGACTCAGCGCCAAATACCAGGACCCAACCACTCACCAGCATGTCACTTCCTGAACACCTGCCTTGAAATCTTGAATGATGACTCACTCACTCCTTTACACACATGACTAAGATATGGCTCCCGGGTTCTCACCTCTGTCCCCAGTGGGTGCTTTGTTCCTTGAGATCTTTCTCTCCAACCCTGACTTGGTGGCTTCCACAGTGACTCGTCCTGGTTTCCCTTTTCGGTGTCATTTCCCTTTGAGGGCACAGGCCCTCAAACCACTTTCATTGACTTCCAGGTCTCAGAGAGCAGCATTGCCTACGAGAAACGCAAAGCGAAGGAGGCCATGGAGAAGGAAAAGAAAAAGGTGCAAGACCTGGAGAATCGCTTAACCAAGCAGAAAGAGGTATGAGCCGCAGGGAGGGAGAGACAAGAGGGGCCCAGCACGGCGAAGGGCAGTGCGCCAGAGCCAGGCTCTGGGTTCAGATCCTACCTCTCCCCATGGCTGGCTGTGGAACTTCAGGCAAGAACCCTAACATCTCTGTGCCTTAGTTTCCCCACTTATGAAATACACCTAATACATACAGATCAATCTCCTTGAGTTGTTGTGAGACATGACTGCTGTTATACCCACAGAACACACGGAGAGGCACTCAGCATTCCACATATATGTGTCAGCTGCCTGTGTTAGCATGGCAAACTCATGACTGGGAAGTGGAGGGACAGGATCCAAAGCCCGGACTGGCTGACTCCCCAACCCTAAATCTTCACCCCTCCCTCTCTACTGCACTTCAGCTTTGGGCTCAGCTGCTTAGCTTAAGAGAGGAGATGTTGGCAGCGTGCAGGTGCTCATACATGTAATCCCAGCATTTTGGGAGGCCGAAGCAGGCAGATCACCTGAGGTCAAGAGTTCGAGACCAGCCTGGCCAACATGGTAAAACCCCATCTCTACTAAAAATGCAAAAATTAGCTGGGTGTGGTAGCACGCACCTGTAATCCCAGCTACTGAGGAGGCTGAGGCAGGAGAATCGCTCGAACCCGGGAGGTGGAGGTTGCAGTGAGCTGAGATTGCGCCATTGCACTCCAGCCTGGGTGACAGAGCAAGACTCCCTCTCAAAAAAAAAAAAAGAGAGGAGATGTAAGGGTATGGACACCTAGGTTTCTGATCAGGCCGATATCAGTTTTCCAAGCAGAGGTTGTTGTCATAGTTATCATCACCTTCATAATCAAAATGCATTTACTGTTATCACTGAGAATTGTAAACATAGTAGGAATAGAAGTGGATTTCGCACCTGACCCTGTCTTGGGTACATAAGCAGTAGGGCATAATTCACTTCTCCTGCGTCCCAGCAGTACAAAACACATACACACACAATTACCAATATGTCAAAGTCAAAGCCCAGTTGACAAACATGCAACCTGGCAATGATGGGTTAAATTTAAATATAGGTGACTATGACTTCAAAGGATTTTCGGGACCAGCTAGGACTAAAAAGGTCTCTATTCACATCAACCTTGGATCATTTTCTTCAAAGAAAGATTTGCAAACATTAGCATGCATTTGGATCTCTGGGGAATTTATTTTTAAATGCCTGTTTCTTGGACCCCACCCCAAGAAGTTCTGACCCCCTGGGTGGAGGACAGACTCAGGAAGCTGCATGTTTCGTAAGCAGCCCAAGTGGCGCTGATGCACTTTAAACAAGGCTGCTCTAGGGAGGTTAGTCAGGAAGGCACATCTGCATTGCACGTCAGCCCTGGACACCAGTCTTCAAGGAGGGACCTGGAGTAACTGGCATGTGTCCAGAGAAGGCAGACGAGAGTTGGGTGAAGTGATGCAGGACTTGTCAGCCCAGGGCCGTCACGGTCACAGAGGACCCCTGCAGGGAGGCACATGCTGCAGGCTGTGGGAGAGCCCGAGAAAGGCAGCCTCTTCCCAAGCAGCCGTGTCCCCCAAACGATGTACCATGGATCCTCCATGAAATACACTATGGGTAGGCAAAAAGGCGAGGTTAAAGTTTTAAAAGTAGGTAAGTCGGGACGTAAAAGGGATCCGGAATGAGACTAATGAAAAAAAAAAAAGTGTATCATGAAATCAATGAATGAGTCACAATTTTTCCTCTAGCAGTTACAGTGCAAGGGAAATCCCAGCTGGTTGTACAATTTGCTAGACAAAAATGGACCAACTGCTCGTGGAAATATGACCATTCTTGGTACTAGACCAGAGAGAATCTCTCCTACGGGTCATTACGTAGAGGATTCTGCAACAAGCAACCTTCTCAACAATATCCTTAGAACAGTAACATCAGAAGGTAGGGTCTTGGCCAGGCGCAGTGGCTCATGCCTGTAATCCCAGTACTTTGGGAGGCCAAGGTGGGTGGATCACCTGAGATCAGGAGTTCAAGCCCAGCCTGACCAACATGGTGAAACCCCGTCTCTACTGAAAATACGAAAATTAGCCAGGCATGGTGGCGCATGCCCGTAATCCTAGCTACTGAGGCTGAGGCAGGAGAATCACTTGAACCCGGGAGGTTGCAATGAGCCAAGATCATGCCATTGCACTCCAGCCTGGGCAATAGAGTGAGACTCCTTCTAAAAAAAAAAAAAAAAAAAAAAAAAAAAAATGAGGTCTCATGGCAGCCCTCAAAGTAGACAGGTGACATTACCCTAGACAAGCAAGAACAGGACCCAGCCCAGGGATTCACCATTTACCAGGAAAATCGAAAGAAATACGAGTCAGGCAGAGAGTTGTGTGTTTGCACATTATTTTATTTGTACACTCGGAAGAGCAATCAAAGATTGATCTCATCTATATAGGCAAAATGGAAAAGGGAGAGAGGGAAAAGAAAGGAATGTCCAATGCATGGGACCAGTGGACTTTGTTCTCCTCTGCTTGGGACAAGCTGCTGAGCAGCCGGCAGGGAGCAAAGATGGCAGGCCGCGTGATCTACTGATAAGCAGGGCAGCTTCGCAGCTCTTCAAAGAAACGATTTCAGTTTGTTGTGGATTATTTGGGACACCTGGGGTGTGTCGCTGAGCTGTACGTGACAAGCTGCTCCGTGGGATGCCTGCCAGCGTCTCCAGTGAGCACCTCCGTAGGCCAGGTCCGCATGAGGTCCTCCGTGGAATATCCCAACAGTAACAGCAAGGTTAAGACCCTGAAAAAGAATCAGACGGAGTTAAGCGGAGGTACGCAGAGGATGCAGCAACTCCCAGGAGAGGCTTGCAGGAATAACATGATGAAAATGGTATAGGGATTTAATATTTTCAAAAAAAAGTGTTTTCTTTCCTGATTATTAAAAAAAAAAAACAACAACAAGACACCTGTCATTCTAGAAAACTTGAAAAAAAAACCAGAAAATCACTCCAAAGAAAATAATAACTAACAGAGTCCACTGAGCACAGTTGCCACTGTCGACATTTTGATGTGATTCCTTCCAGACCGCCTTTGTTTTGAACCTCAGCATCGACATCGATAAATACCGATTTATGACCAAGTTAGTGATTTACACTGTGACACTGTGCACAGTGCTTTGGATGCTATTTTTGATATTTAACATACGACGTGTCAACCTTAAATAATGAGATTCTCTAAGCATAGAGTTTATTTGAGCTCAAAGCTTGAGGACGGCAACCCAAAAAACAGACTTCAAAAGAATGAGTCAGCATTCCAAAGCAGGGAGGTGAAAATTTCACTTTGATAGGCAGTTAACAGGATCGCAACGTCTTCCACACAAGGTCAGCACATGCGGTTATAGCCCTTTGGTTGGTCACAGCTTGCTACATTCCTGGGAAAATTGCTTTAATGTTCCAGGATGAGGGGTGATCATCTGAAGGAGTCTTATCTCTGGCGCTGCCAGGGCTTTCCCACTCATTTACAGAAAAGAACAGAAGTTGCAGGTGTGTGCTACGTGACCCAGGCCCCACAGCCACATTCCTCTTGAGTCTCAAAATAATGTAAGGTTTCAACCGCTTTAAGTTTGAATGATTTTGGCCATTCACAGTGACTCACGCCTGTAATCCCAGCACTTTGGGAGGACAAGGTGGGAAGATCACCTGAGGTCAGGAGTTCAAGACCAGACTGGCCAACATGGCAAAACCCCATCTCTGCTAAAAATACAAAAATTAGCCAGGCGTGGTGGTGGGTGCCTGTAATCCTGGCTATTTGGGATGTTGAGGCAGAAGAATCACTTGAACCTGGGTGGCGGAGGTTGCAGTGAGCCAAGATCGCCACTGCACTCCAGCCTGGGCAACAGAGCGAGACTCCGTCTCAGAAAAAAAAAAAAAGTTTGAATGATTTCATTTTGCATAGAATGTCTCAGTGTCATCAAACAATCTTCTGTGACCCAGGTTTGCACTGTGCTGGATGGATCCCAACTTCTTTTCTTCTCCCCTGGGTTGGTTTCTCACTCTTCACTAGTGCGGCAGATGCCCAGCTAACCCACCCTGTGCATCAGTCTTTACGTCCTTAGGAAAAACTCCCTAAAGTGGAGTTGCTGAGTCACAGGACTTACACATTTTCAGGCTCATAATACACATTCCTGAATGAGTGTCTAGAAAAGTCACAGCAGTTTGCACCTCCACCAACAGAGTTTAAGAATGCCTAGTACTTCGAATATATTTTAAATTGGATTAACTAATGTTCATAAGATGCCCAGCACAGTGCCACTCAAGAAGCCCACACTTCACATTTATTGCAGGAGGGACTCAAAGAGAATAGAATGTTGACTATGAAAGATCGAAAGAATCTTTCATGCGGTGGTGGGTGCGGTGGCTCACGCCTGTAATCCCAGCACTTTGGGAGGCTGAGGCAGGTGGATCATGAGGTCAAGAGATCGAGACCAGCCTGGCCAATATGGTGAAACCCCGTCTCTACTGAAAATACAAAAATTAGCTGGGTGTGGTGGCATGCGCCTGTAGTCCCAGCTACTTGGGAGGCTGAAGCAGGTGAATTGCTTGAACCCGGGAGGCGGAGGTTGCAGTGAGCTGAGATAGCACCATTGCACTCCAGCCCAGGTGACAATGTGAGACTCCATCTCAAAAAAAAAAAAAAGAATGGGTTCCAGGATAAGGGATAAGAGATGCCCAGGACAGGGCCGCCGGAGCCCTGGAGGAAAGGGGGGTGTCCTGGAAGCAGGTGTTGCAGTGAAGGAGAGAAGGGACTCAGCACATTCATCTTGGAGAACAGATTTAGAGACAGACATGACAGCCCTCCTCAAATATTTAAAGGGCTGTCTCATAAAAGAGAAATAAAACGTTCTCAACGAGCTCCAGGTGACAGAACTGAGCTCAGAGACCAGAAATCACGAGGAGACAGATCTCCGCTGAATGTGAAGACGAGTTCTATAATAACTGGAACCTTCCAGAGAAGGCATAGACTTTGTACTTTAAAAGAATCGACAGAATAATTAGAGAATAGACTTTGCCCCCTCCCTGAAGGTTGGGGAGAAGGGGACTGGGTAAATACGTATTCCTGAATGTCTGTTATTTTGCTATTTGTTTTTTTTTGTCTAGGAATTAGAATTAAAAGAGCAAAAAGAGGATGTTTTAAGTAATAAATTAAGTGACGCACTAGCCATGGTTGAAGAGACTCAGAAAACAAAGGCAACTGAAAGTCTAAAAGCAGAGAGCCTCGCCTTGAAATTAAATGAAACATTAGCTGAACTGGAAACTACCAAGACAAAAATGGTAAGTCGGTGCCTTCCAGGAATGGGAGAATTTTTCTCCCAATAGAAGATTACAGTGTGTGAGAATGTGTGGCTTAGACCAGGGCTTCTTGGCATCAGCACTGCTGATGTTCTGGGTCAAGTAGCACTTTCCTGTTAGGGGCTGTCCTGAGCATCTTAGGATATTTAGCACCACCCCTGTTCTCTACCCACCGGATGCCAGGAGCCCTCTCCCCGCAGTCGTGATCACCAAAAATGTCTTCAGACATTGCCAAGTGTCCCTTAATGGCCCCCTAATGAGAAGCGTTGGTTTAGAATGAAAGGTACACAGAGCTAGGATGCCCCGTCTGCAGGGTATTCTGAGATGTTGTAATGCAGGTTCCTCACAGGATCAGAATGCCTGGAGAGCCTCAGGACCGAGTGATGAGTGATGATTCCACAGGCTTTAAGACAATGCATTAAAGCGTAGGCTCGGTATTCGAGGCCCTCCAAAATCAGGGCTCCATGTGCATTCACTCTGTCATCCACACGCTCAACTGACAGGTTTCTGAGCAAGGAAGTCATGAAGGTGAATCTCCCAAAAGAGAACGAAGTAAATTTCACGAGGGTGTGGCGTTGGAGAGAACAGGTCTGGGGGTGGCACGTGGTGGACCAGAATCATAAGGACTTGACCTTGGCGGGAGCTGGGGGAGGTGTGGGAGGGAGGGAGTCGCAGGAGAGAGTTATGATGGCAGGACTTGATAACTGCTGGCAGGACGTGAGCGCCAAGGAGAGCACAGTGCCAAAGGAGACTGCACGCTTCAGGCCAGGGTGCTTGGGGACCTGATCGCGTAAGGACGACATAGGGATAGGAGTATGGAGGTCTGGGGTCATGGTGGGGGTGTTCTCTTGGAGCAACCCTCTTTTGGAGAAGAGGAGACAAGAGGAGGAAGGCGAGGATAGGGCATCAAAGTTCAAAAGCCCCCCAGCTTTGGGTACACAATAGTTTTGGGAGAGAAAGCAAGACAAGAGCCTAATCTGGAAGGCAGCCTCCTAGGCAGGGTCCTTGGAAGAGCAGGCATGTGTGAGTGTGTCGGGCAAAGAATGTACCTGTCATGGGGAGATCAGAGGCCGAGGCCCAGCACGTCACCTGGGAATAGGGAGCAGGACAGGGTGAGTTTGGAGTAGCAGGCGGGCATTGAGAAGGAGGTGCTGGGATGCAAACGCCAAGGGGAGCCTCAGGAGGGAGTGTTTGGATGTGGGAAAGCAGCAGATTTGCCTTTTGGGGGTCATTAATTTTTTGTTTTTAAGAAATGCAAATTCTGGCTGGGCACAGTGGCTCGCACCTATAATTTCAGCACTTTCGGGGTCAAGGTGGGTGGATCATCTGAGGTCAGGAGTTTGAGACCAGCCTGGCCAAATGGTGAAACCTCGTCTCCACTAAAAAAAAATATGAAAATTAGCTGAGTGTGGTGGTGCACGCCTGTAGTCGCAGCTACTTGGGAGGCTGAGGCAGGAGAATACCCTGAACCCAGGAGGCAGAGGATGCAGTAAGCCAAGATCATGCTACTGCACTGTAACCTGGGTAACAGAGCAAGACTCTGTCTCGAAAGAGAGAGAAAGAGAAAGAAGAAAGAGAGAGAGAGATAAAAGATAGAAAGAAAAGGAAGGAAGGAAGGAGAGAGAGAGAAAAAAAAAGGAAAGAAAGGAGAAAGAAAGGCAAATTCATTTGCCTTTTCTTATGAAATTGTTCATTCATTAATTCCACAAATATCTATCAAACATCAAATGCTGTGGGCATAGCAGTAAGTAAAAACAGACACATTTCTGCTGTTACGAATTTTACATTCTAGAGGGCATGAGAAACAAACGATTAAAGGCTTCAGGGACAATGAAACAGACGCTGGAATAGGAAGTGTCTGGGGTTGCTCCTGATAGGTGGTCAGGGAGGGCCTCTTGGAGGAGGTGACGCTGGAGCTGAGCCCTGAGAGTCAAGAAGGAGTTGGCCATGAAAGGAGCTGTGGAAGAAGTGTACAGGGCAGAAGGAACAGCACGTGCTAAGGCCCTGGGGTGGGGCCCAGTTTAGCACCTGTGTGTACCCAGGGTGTATATTATGGTTGCTGTCATACCCAGCTCCCAAGACCACACTGAGTGACGCTCTGTTCCCAGATCTTGATGGAAGAGCGGCTAATGCTGCAGCAGAAGACGGTAAAGGCCGTCCAGGATGAGCAGGAATCACAGAGACACGGATTTGAAGAAGAGATCATGGAATATAAGGAGCAAATCAAACAGCACTCCCAGACGATTGTGAGCCTCGAAGAGAAACTCCAGAAAGTCAGTCAACACCATAAAAAAATAGAAGGCGAGATTGCAACATTGAAGGACAACGACCCGGGTAAGTCCGAAGGGGGACCAAGGAAATCTTAGTGTTCGGGGTAGGTTCTGATTGTCCGCTGGGTCCCAACAGGCTGATGGTTAAGAAAAAGGCCGTGCCTTATTCAAAAGCTCATTCATTCTCTGAGGCCCCCTTTTGTTCTTGTTACACAACGATGTCAGAAGCCCTCCGAGGCCCAGGTTCAGCAGAAGTCATGGCAATGAGTTGGGACATCCTTTGTGCCGACCCAGTGAGCCGGCGAGACACACAGGCTACCAGGGCTGTCAGAGCTGTCAGGGCAGCACGAAGTGGAATCATCTTTTCCACATGAAAACATCTCGTGTGGGGGCCTTTCAAAGGCTTCTCTCTGCCATTGGCCTTTTGCATCTTCACTAATGCACTCATTACCAGCCAGGATTTGTCCCTTAAAAAATAAACCCAAAAGAAGCTGAAAAAAGAACTCAGACTTGTAAGCACTTATTTGCCCCAAACGGCCAAGGTAAGGTATTATTGTAAAGTTGTTAAGCTCTTGGAGAAAGTTCTGGAAGTAGAGGACTCAGGCCAGGGTATCCCAGCCTCAGCCCTGTTGACATTTGGGGCAGGATCATTTTTTCATGGATGGGACTGAACTGGGCACTACTGGGTGTTAGCAGCCTCCCTGTCCTCCACCCACCAGCTGCCAGTGGCACCCCTACCCCAGCTGTGACAACCAAAAATGTCTCCAGACATTGCCCAATGTCCCCTAGAGGCAAACTCACTCCTGGTTAGGAAACACGGCTCTAGTTCCCAGCAAGTCGGCAAGCCGTCAGGACTTCCCTCATTCATTCACTCATTCAGCTCTCTCGGTGGAGCTTCTATTACGTTCCGATCTCACGTAGGCACTCGGGATCCAGTGATGGACAAGCCAGTTTTTGTCCCCGTGGTAACAAAATTATTGCCCTGACAGGTGATCCAGGATGAATAGGGCACCATGACAAAGACGAAGAGTGGGATTCAGTTTCCCAACCCAGAGTCCAGGTCAGAGGAAGCGTGTTTGAGGTTGAGCTGGGGGCTGGGTTCAGTGGCTCATGCCTGTAATCCCAGCACTTTGAGAGGCCAAGGCTGGCAGATCACGAGGCCAAGAGATTGAGACCATCCTGGCCAACATGGTGAAACCCCGTCTCTACTACCAATACAAAAATTAACCAGGCGTGGTGGCGTGCGCCTGTAGTCCAGCTACTCAAGCTGCTGAGACAGGAGAATTGCTTGAACCCAGGAGGTGGAGGTTGCAGTGAGCCGAGATCGTACCACTGCACTCCAGCCTAGCAACAAAGCGTGACTGTCTCAAAAAAAAAAAAAGAGATTGAGCTGGGACCTGAAGGGTGACGTCCAGGTCAGAGGGAGGTGTTTGAGATTGAGCTGGGACCTAAAGGATGACTGCATCTTTGTCACCCCTGTACTTAGACCAGTGTGCACTCCACACGTTTGTTGAAGGAATAAACAAGTGAGTGAACACGTGACTGAGTAGTGAGACAGGACGCCAGAGGCGGTGCACTGAGGTGTAAATGGGAGGTGAGGAGAGGAAGGTGCTAAACACAGATTCTTCTTCCAAGAGAGACAGGCAGGCAGTGGGACCAGGGGCTGAGGCTGCACTGCTCACCAGCTTAGCCAAGTGGGTCACCAGCAGCTTCCATCACTCCGGTGCCCGTTTCCATGTCTATAAGTGGACTTGATGGCCCCTGCCTTCTAGAGAAGCTGGGACAATCGCATGGCCACGCACTTTGGGAGAGCCCCCAGCCTGTGACACGGCACACATGTGGGTCTCACAAGGTGAAGAGGGCTGCAGGTGGAGGCAGGGTTTGTAAGTTGTGAAAGACACAGGTGTGCTTGTAAGCAAAGGGGAAGGACAGCCTCCTCTCACAACGATCACACGTCTCTCCGATACAGCCCAAAAGGAGGAAAGGCCGCAAGACCCTCTGGTGGCTCCCACGACGGACAGCAGTGCCAAAGACATGGCGTATGAACACCTGATGTGAGTACCCGCGGGTGCGTGAGCGCCAGGCATTCTCACCGGCACCACCTGGGTGGGGGCAAACAGGCAACCAGCCCCTACCTGGGCCACACTGTCAGAAGCCATACAAAGAGCTGGGCCTGCTGCCTTTCCAGTGCTGCTTCCACTTCCCCATTCCTTCAGCAAGGCAGGGCAATGTCGTGGAAAGATTTAGATGGATCTACATTCAGATCCCTCAGCCTGTTTTCTGCTGTTTATAACAGAATACCCAAAACTGGGTGATTTATAAAGAAAAGAGATTCATTTCTTACAGTTTTGGAGCCTGAGAAGTCCCAGGTTGAGGGGCTGCATCTGGTGAGGGCCTTCTTGCTGTTGGGGACTCTCTGCAGAGTCTGGGAGTGGTGCAGTGTATCACATGTCCAGGGGCTGAGTGTGCTAACTCAGGTCTCCCTGCCTCTTTTTATAAATCCACAGTCTCACTGCCATGATAATCCATTAATCCACTAACCCAGTAGCCCACAAATCCATTAATCCATAATTGTACTTTCGTGACCAATCACTTTATAAAGGCCCCACCTCTCAATACTGCTACCTTGGGGGTTAAGTTTCAACTTGAGATTTGGAGGAAACGAACATTCAAAACATAGCAGATTCCAACTTGACACTTTCCAGCTGTGTGACCCTGGGCAAGTCACGCCACCTCACTGAGCCTTAGCTTCCACGTCTGTGAAGTAAGGCTGTACATGCCTAGTGCTTGGGAAATCTAGCTAATACTGCTGTTAGCTATTTTTCCCGAGGATCAGCTAGAGGCAAGCCCATTCATAGGTGTTATTAAGCAGACAGAGATTTCAAACAGTGGAGACCACTTGGTGGGGCGGGGCCCTACAAAGGTGAGAAGTTAAGAAGTTGGCTAAATGACCTCAAATAAATGATTTCAACCCTCCTGACTCTGAGAGCCAGTGAGTCTATAAAGAGGTCTATCCTCGAAGAACTGATAGTTTTCAGAGAAACAAACGTATGAATGGGAAAGATCCAGAAAACAGCACATAAAGAAGGAGGTGCCGATGGGATGCAGCGTAGGGATTCAGAAGCTCCCCCAAGAGGACAACCACCTGCCCGATCCTTGCACCAAATCCTAGTGACTGAAGTCTAATGTCACAGGGATTTTACCCCAAAAAGACAAGGATACCCAGCCTCCGCACTGTGAAAAGTTCCTGACTCCTCCTCCTGTTTAAACTCTAGAAACAGTGGTGCCCGTGACTTGGAGAAGAGTCAGCACCTCCCGGCCCTGCTCTGGTCCACTTCCTTGGTGGTGTGAACATGCTTGAGTTCTGAGGTTTTATCCTCGAGTTGGAAGATTTGTGGTTGCAGCCAAGAACATGCTCATGTGGACACACACAGATGCATGCACACACAGAATATACTATATATATGTAGTTATGTTCATTCTAATGATCACCAGTCTTTTTTTTTATTTGACATGCAACCTGCCAGTGTTTTACTTTAATTCATAATAAACGCAGTACCTTCTAAAGTCTGTATAAGGCTGGGTGCAGTGGTTCATGCCTGTAATCCCAGCACTTTGGAAGGCCGAGGTGGGTGGATCACCTGAAGTCAGGAGTTTGGGACCAGCCTGGCCAACATGGTGAAACCCCGTCTCTACTAAAAATACAAAAATGAGCCAGGCATGATGGCAGATACCTGTAGTCTCAGCTACTTGGGAGACTGAGGCAGGAGAATCGCTTGAACCCAGGAGATGAAGGTTGCAGTGAGCTGAGATCACGCCACTGCACTCCAGCCTGGGCAACAGAGCAAGACTCCGTCTCAAAAAAATAAAAATAAATAAAAAATAAAGTCTTTATAAGAAGAGCCTGGATTTCAAAAGCCTGTGAACTCAAATGAAGTGGCATTAATACCTGCCCAAAGACTAAGGCTCCCAACCCCCTTCCAAAAGGGCAAGACCTACTCCTTGCAACACACACAAGACCTGTCTCCGCCAGGCTGCAGTTTCTCAACTTGCTGAGGCATGCACCCTGTGTTCTTCCTGTCAAATCCCCACCCAAGGCGCCTCCCCTGCTGTTCCTGCTGGGCACCCTTCACCCCTCCACTGGGCGCAGCCACCCTCCCATCAGCCATCCTGAGTCTCAGGGTGCCAAAGGTGTGCTGCCCTCCAGGGGTGTGGGAGGGGGAGCTGTCCTGTCACCATCACTGTCCCCCTGTTGCCTGGGGCGCCGAGGCCACACTTCTAGCAGCTCCCCCAAGAACACCATTCATTCACATCTGGCCCCGCCTCCCTCCACCAGGAATTCAGAGGAGCTGCTGAGAGAACAGAGCCACATTGTCTTCCTCTCTTTTTTCTTCCCTGTCCCCAAAGAATCCCTGAACCTCCCCCAAATAGTTTTCCCCTCTCCCTCCACCATCAGTCATGATGCTGGGTAGTGGGTATCAGTCTCATGCAAGGCATGTTCGAGCCTCAGACTCAACTCAGCCAGATCTTGTGTTCTGTCTCAGTGGATTTTCTTTTTTCTTTATTTCTTTTTTTTTTCTTAGAGACGGGGTCTTGCTCTGCCACCCAGGCTGGAGTGCAGCCTTCAACTCCTATGCTCAAGCAACCTTCCCACCTCCGCCTCCCGAGTAGCTAGGACAACAGCCACACACCACTATGCCTGGCTAATTTTTTTAAAATTTATTTTTTGTAGAGATGGGGTTCTGATTTCTGTTGCACAGGCTGGTCCCGAACTCCTGGGCTCCAGTGATCCTCCAGCCTTGGCCTCCCAAAGTGCTGGGATTACAGGCATGTACCCAGTGCCTGGCCTCCATCTATTTTCTTAAACGAAGGTGCAACAAAAAAGTCATTTTTGTTTTAGAGTTTTTGAAGACTGTCCTCATCCTTTCCTGGGACTGGCATCGCATGGACCATGATTGAGAATCTGTTTGCATTTGTACTTGGCCCCTTCCTGACACTCAGGAGACAATGTGGAGTTTGAGTTGAACTGACTTCACCTGTTTTTGTGAATTTCAGAGATGACTTATTGGCTGCTCAGAAGGAAATCCTGTCTCAGCAGGAGGTCATCATGAAGTTAAGGAAAGACCTTACAGAAGCCCACAGCAGAATGTCGGATTTGAGAGGTTTGAACAATTTCCGGTGTCTCTTGACCTCCTGACCCATTCGAGAAAGGAAGGAGATGAGGCTTAAGAGTTGGCCGGGCGCAGTGGCTCACGCCTGTAATCCCAGCCCTTTGGGAGGCCAAGGCAATTGGATCACAAGGTCAGGAGTTCAAGACCAGCCTGGCCAAGATGGTGAAAACCCATCTCTACTAAAAATACAAAAATTAGCCAGGTGTGGTGGTGGGCGCCTGTGATCCCAGCCACTCAGGAGGCTGAGGCAGAGGATTGCTTGAATCCGGGAGGTGGAGTTTGCAGTGAGCCCAGATCACACCACTGCACTCCACCTGAGCGACAGAGTGAGACTCTGTCCCCAAAAAAAAAGAGTTGGAAACCTTGGCATAAACAACCCTGCTTCCCTGTGTTGTCCCAGCATCTGTAACTCAGGGTCAGCAAAAGTCGTATCCTGGATATGTCCCTGATTCCCACCCCCCACTGAGTCCCTGCCTCAATGCCAAGGGGCACAGGGCACATTCTCCACAGGACTTTGGACCTCTGCACTGAAATGCAACTTTCTTCTTCAGGGAGAATTTTCCTTTAGCACAGATTTGCTTCCGGAAGCAAAGGCCTGGAGGGCAATCCTGGGGTCTTCCTGCGGCGGGCCAGTTTGCACAAGCCCCAGCACTCACTAGCTTTGGGACCTAGGACAAGGGGGCTCTCCAGGCCTTCTCTTCCTCAGATGCCAAGTAGGGACAACACGCCTTCTTCCTAGGGTTAACATGGGCATCAGTGGCCCCTAGAGTAGGGGCAAAATAACTGAGTTCTGTGCTGTTCCGGACAGACACAGACAATGCTGCCTTCATATTCCTGCTTTGTTCCTCCTTATCTCTGTGCTTTTACTTCTGCCTCCCTCCTTCTTGCATCTGATAGCAGCCTCTCTTTCCCATGTCTCATCTCCCTGAGCTGAAGGGCATGGATAGACAGGCAGGAGCTGGGAGATGGAACTAAGCCTGGGGAAGTGGAGGAAGGGAAAAGAATGCTCCTATCTTGTCTCCATCCCAAACCCTACAGGGTATTCGCTCCCTGTAGCTGTTCCTGTTAATACCCCAAGACATTTATGGCTGAGGTTTTTTGTAATAAGGTATGAGAAAGTGTGGGGTACAGGCTACAATGCCCAGTTCTCTGGAGATGTCGGGCCCAATTCTATATCTGCTCACTCTTAGTAAGTCCCTTACCTCCTTGAGCCTCAGTTTCTGCATCTGTGAAGTGAGGATGCTAATAATAGCTACTTTATGCCTGTAGTCCCAGCACTTTGGGAGACCGAGGCGGGTGAATCACCTGAGGTCAGGAGTTTGAGACCAGCCTGGCCAACATGGTGAAACCCTGTCTCTACTAAAAACACAAAAAAGTAGCCAGGCGTGGTGGCGCATGCCTGAAATTCCACCTACTCAGGAGGCTGAGGCAGGAGAATCACTTGAACCCGGGAGGCAGAGACCCCCTTACCGGCCCTCCTGTCACTCCCAGGGGAGCTAAACGAGAAGCAGAAGATGGAACTGGAACGGAACGTGGCGCTGGTCCAGCAGCAAAGCAAGGAGCTGAGTGTGCTCAAGGAGAAGATGGCCCAGATGAGCAGTCTGGTGGAAAAGAAAGACCGGGAGCTGAAGGCCCTCAAGGAGGCACTCAGGTTGGGTGGGCGGGGGAGGGGGGATAGTTCACCTGGCATAGGGAGCCCCTGAGTCTTGCATAGAGAGAGGGCTCAGTACATGCTGCTTGAGGAGTTGAATGAATGAATGATATGTGTTTCATGGTTTTGCTTATTCTGTGCTTCTCAAACTTCCTTGTCCAATATTCCAGATGACAGGTCTCTGCTTAAATGCCACCTCCTCCAGGAAGCCCTCCCTCACTCATCCTCACCAAACATAGCCAAGGGATCCTGCCATGCTTGGTCTCCCTCAGCCCCTGCACTCTGTCTAACCTACCACTTAGCACACAGCAAGGCTACCTTTGCCTGTTTTGTTGTTGTTTGTTTTTTTGAGATGGAGTCTCACTCGCTCCGTTGCCCAGGCTGGAGTGCAGTGGAGAAATCTTGTCTCACTGCAACCTCTGCCTCCCAGATTCAAGCCATTCTTGTGCCTCAGCCTCTGGAGTAGCTGGGACTACAGGCATGAGCCACCACACCTGGCTAATTTTTTGTATTGTTGGTAGAGATGGAGTTTCACCATGTTGGCCAGGCTGGTCTTGAACTCCTGACCTCAAGCAATCCACCCACCTCGGCCTCCCAAAGTGCTGGGATTACAGGCGTGAGCCACCGCGCTCGGCCCCATTGCTTGTTTATTGTCTGCCCTTCCCACGAGGACAGGGTCTGTGTAGACCTTGCCCACTACTGATTTCCCAGCCCAGCACATAAGGGAACTTAATATTTATTTAACAAATGAATAAACTGGAGGTGTCAGCTTAAAATACATACAAAATATTGTCATTGTCCCCTGGGTTCATCTTTGAAAACACCCGTGAGTTGCATTTTTACCCACAGCTTATCCATATTTTAGAATGAGTCATGTTTTCATAAAAAAAGAGTTTGAAATTGATGTTTTGTGGATATCTGGTAGCTTTGTGTGCCTTGTGGCCAAGGCAGATTCACATAGTGGCTAAAGGAGCAGACTCCACACCTGGCTGCCTGGTTTCAAAGCCAGACCCTAGACCGGGCCCGGTGGCTCACGCCTGTAATCTCAGCACTTTTGGAGGCTAAGGCAGGCGAATCACCCGAGGTCAGGAGTTTGAGACTAGCCTGGCCAACATATAGTGAAACCCTGTCTCTACTAAAAATACAAAATTAGCCGGGCGTGGTGGTGCATGCCTGTCCCAGCTATTTGGGAGGCTGAGGCAGAAGAATTGCTTGAACCTGGGAGGCGGAGGTTGCAGTGAGTGGAGATCGCACCATTGCACTCCAGCCTGGGTGGGAGAACAAGAACAAAACTCCATCAAAAAAAAAAAAAAAAAAATAGCCAGACCATCCATTTACAAGCAAGGTGACTACAGGCAGATTGCTGTGTGTCTGTTTACTTGTCTGTAAAATGGGACAAGCAGAGGACCTAACTTGTGGGATTGTTATGAGAGAGAGAAGGGTTAGACACACATAAAGTGTTAGAAACAGCAGACATGCACCAAATGTCCCTGTAAAACCACAGCAGGTGTCCTCAGCCCCAGTATAGGAACCAAGGGCAGGTGCTCCCTGCCCTGGTCACTCTCCCATAAGTCCCCTGAAACTGAATTCTCTAGAAATCTGGGAGCAGGAAACTGAAGTCTCTAAAGAATTCTGTTTCCTGTAAAAATAGAGCTCCATTTCCTGGTCTTCCAGTGACTGCAAAAGTCATTTGTGGTTCCTGGAACCTCATGCTATCCTCTTCTTCTCTACCCCAGGGCTTCCCAGGAGAAACACAGACTCCAGCTGAACACAGAGAAGGAACAGAAGTCCCGGAAGAAGACCCAGACGTGTGACACCTCTGTGCAGATAGAACCCGTCCACACCGAGGCCTTCTCCAGCAGCCAAGAGGTGAGTGCCAGCAACTCCTGGGCACCCGGAAGGATGTGCTAAGACACGGCCCAGTGGTGGCTTTCTTTCCTTTTGAAGATATTTTCATTCTAAGTTCCGAAAGTATGACTTGCTTGTGTGAAACGTATAAAGTAAGTCGCAGAATCCTGCCTCTTCAGTCGCAGTCACCAGAGGTCACAGCTGTCCACAGTGTGATGTGCATGCCATGAGATCTTTCCCTCGTAGAGGCCTCCACGTTCTGACACGGTCAAGAAAGTGTAGTGGCTGAAGATCAGGCTTAGATTCGCGTTTGAATCCCAGCTCCTCCACTTAGAAACTCTGTTGTGACCTTGGGAAGGTCACTGTGCACCAGTTCCCTGTTCTGACAGTAATGACCATCCCCACCTTATGGGTTGGCTGAGAAATACATTTTATGTATATACACACCTGAACAAACACACACAAACCCATACATATATTTATTCATTCATTCCTTTATTCCGGGGCAAGGTCTCACTCTGTCACCCAGGCTGCAGTGTAGGGGTGCCATCACAACTTCACTGCAGCCTCAACTTCCCAAGGTTCAAATGATCCTCCTGCCTCAGCCTCCCTAGTAGCTGGGACTACAGACGCATGCTACCACACCTGACGAATTTTTGTATTTTTAGTACAGATGAGGTTTCACCACATTACCCAGGCTGGTCTTGGAATTCCCAGACTCAAGAGATCCACCTGCCTCAGCTTCCCAAAGTCCTGGGATTACAAGTGTGAACCACCACGCGTGGCCCATATAGATATTTGTTTAGTAGATAATTTTTTTACTAATGGTGTCTAACCACGTACATTCTGCAACATGGGTTTAGTTTTACATACCACTATTTAATGGGCATCTTTGCAAGTATATGAAGATCTGCCTCACCCTTTTAAACAGTTGTGTAGAATCCCATTGTTTCTTCTTTGCAACCAGTCCCCTCTTGATGGACACTTCCATTGCTTCTCCTCTTGTGCAATGCTGTAGTTAATGTACTTGTTCTTCCTGAATTGTGATTGTTGGAGCCAAACTGCCCTCCCAAAGAGCCACGTAGGGAGTGCTCCGTGGCTGTGTCTTGGTAGCTGTTCTACGCACCTGCCCAGAAGCATCTGATGGGAGTGTGTCTTTGAGTGAGAACAGCCTGCCTTGGGCCGTCCTAGAAGCAGGCACTCACACTCTGTCCCTACGGCTGGGGTTGTGATACTCCCCACGGTCCGCAGCGTGCAATCGTGAGACTCAGTGGTTCCTCAAGGCCCTGGTTTCCTGGAGCCTGGGGCTCTTCTTCCCCTGGGGCGTTTTGAGCCTAGAGAGCATGACGTTCCAGTAATGGGCTTTGGATTTTCACTGGGAAGCCAGGCCAAATGTGTCAGCTTGCTTTCCGGCTTTCTCAAAGATGCCTTTCCCCTGCCAGACAGCGTTGAGCCAGGGCCGCAAACAGCTTGAACGAAAGGGCTCGAGGTCCAGCCAGCTGTCCTTGGCATTGATTGCTGTCCAGCACTTTAACAGAAGTGTCTCCTGGTTGCTCAGGGTGACCAGGAAGGCGGGGGCTGCAGCAGGTCCACGTGGCCGTAAGCTCCGTGGGGCAGGGGGTGTGTGGCACTCCTGTTGGAATCCCAGGCTCTTAGAGCAGAACCTGACCCATATTCATTCACTTGTTCAACAACTATTGAGCACCTGCGGTGTGCCAGGCCCTATGCCAGGGATAGGAGAAGACGCACCGGCTCCCGCCCACACCAAACGCCCTTGGACTCTGTGCACGTCTGTTGGACTGGATTATTGAACTGGGATGCCCTTGATTTTTAGTTTATATTATATGGAGGGATTAGTGGAGGAGGATGGGGGAGGGAGGCTGCAAGATAAAAGGGAAAATGTATTTGTTCCTTCTTGGAATGGTTTTCCTCCCTCGGGCTCCTTCCTGCTTTCTAAGCCAGAGTGGGTCAGAGGGCTTAAGAGTTGTATGAGAAAGAATTTCATCCTCTCCAAATAAATAAATTCCCAGAAGAGCCGCAAGGAGGGGTCATGTGACGTTCCTGGTACCCCTTCAGGCTAGCACAGGCTGTGAGGCAGCCTCAATGCGTGGCTACCCCTACACTCCCAAAATTCAGTATCTCCTGCCCCCTGCTATACACAGAGAGACAGAGAGAGAGGGAGAACATTCCAGGTTGTTTACTCTCAGGGCAAACACGCATCCTCAAGAGGTGACCGAGGCCAGTGTAGAGCCAGCCCCGCAAGGGAACCAGCCATGCATCCTGTGAGCAGGGTGGAGCCAGGGTCCGAGGACAAGCGAGGCCCTACTAAGCGCAGCCAGGGTGGCCTGCGTCTCTCTCCCAGCTGCTGAGCCCTGGTCCCAGCTGGAAAGCCAGGGCAAGCTCCTTACAGCTCCTGTTTCTGACAGGCTGCATGTTTACTGAGTACCTACTGTGCTCAGACACCATGCTGGGCCCTGGAAATAGCACAGTCTTCAAAGGAGATAAAGACGGCTCTCATGGAGCCTGTCATCTGGGAGGAGAGACACAGAAATAAACAAGCCAAGATCAAGTAAAATGTCCACTGGGAAGAAGCGCTCTGAGAAACTGTACAGCAGGATTCGGAACAGATTGACCTGGGGGAGGGGAGTGGTCAGGTGGTCAGGTGGTCAGGGAGGCCTGTGCTGGAGGAGACCTGGAGCAGAGCCAGAAGGAAGGGAGGGAACGAGAGGTAGGGACATGGGGGTGGGGGTAGGGGGCCGTCCCAGGAAGGCCTCAGACAGCACTGTTGAGCCCCTTGTAGGAGGCCATGGGCCCTGTTCCCCTGGTGGCAGTGTGGCTAGTGCAGGGCCAGGGATGTGTCATACAGGCCTCTGATAAGCATTTGAACCATCAAAGGAGGAAGAACAAAGAGATGTCTCCTCTGCGTTCTTTTCCTGGGAGCACTTATCACTCTCCGAAATTAGAGTATTTGTGCGCCTGTCTGCCTGTTACCTGTCTGCCCCATAGAAACGCACCCACAGCAGCAAGGGCTGGTCTGCCCGCTCCCCGATCTCGCCCCAGTGCCTAGAACAGTGTCTGGCATGCAGCCATTGCTACCATTCAATAGATAGATGGATAGGCAACTTTTAAAATAATTTTGGTTCACTTCATACTACATATATATTATCTTCTATATCTATAGCTATCTATATATGTATATGTATATGCATGAAGTGAACCAAAACTGTTACTTTAAAAAGTATTATAAAAGAGCCAGATTGTCAATTTTTTCTCTTTCTTGCCAGTTTGACTGAAGCCTTCCCTGGCAACTCTATCTGCAACTAAAACCTGTTCCCAACACCCCACCCTGTTTACCCACTTAATTTTCTCTTTACCATTTATAACTTCTACCAGATACTTTCACCTTGTCTGTCTGCCCACACGAGGATGCAGAATCTCTGACAACAGGGATGTTGCTGGGTTTAACCACTGTTGAATCCCCAGAGCCTAGAACAAGACTTGGCACAATAAATCGATGTGAGATGAACGAATGACTTGCTTACCCTGGAGAAGCGTTGGTTAGCTCAGAGTTTATGAATGGACTTCAGGAGGTCTTGACCCTCTGGAAGTTGTATGCAAATATTTGTGTCGCTGCGAATTTTTCTGGAAGGAAAAACCCTGCATGCTTCCAAATCTTAAAAGGGTACATGACCCTTAAAAGATGAAAAAGACGGCTGGGTGCGGTGGCTCACACCTGTAATCCCAGCACTCTGGGAGGCCAAGGAAGGCGGATCACAAGGTCAGGAGTTTGAGACCAGCCTGGCCAACATGGTAAAACCTTGTCTCTACTAAAAATACACAAAAAAATTAGCTGAGCGTGGTGGCATGCACATGTAATCCCAGCTACTCAGGGGGCTGAGGCAGGAGAATCGCTTGAACCTGGGAGGCAGAAGTTGCAGTGAGCTGAGATTGTGCCATTGCACTCCAGCCTAGGTGACAGAGCAACACATACACACACCGTCAAAAAAAAAAAAAAAAAAGGTGAAAAAGACTTTTCTTTGTCTGTGCTCTTAGTAAACCCAACTATAGACTGGTTACAGTGGCTCATGCCTGTAATCCCAGCACCTTGGAAGGCTGAAGCAGAAGGATTGCTTGAGCTCAAGAGTTTGAGACCAGCATGGGCAACAAAGTGACATCCTGTCTCTACAAAAAAATACAGGAAGATTAGTCGGGCGTGGTGGCACACATCTGTGGTTCCAGCTACAGAACTGGAAGGATCACTTGAGCCCAGAAGTAGAGGCTACAGTGAGCCATGATCATGCCATTGCATTCCAGCCTGGGCAACAGAGCAAGACCCTATCTCCAAAAACCAAAACAAACAACATCAAACACACACACTCACAAAAAAAAAAACTGCAACTCTAACCTGAGCTGTTTAGGATGGTCCCTCTGGGTCTCGTGGCTACCATATTGGACGGTGCCGGTGCAGGTATGAAACATTCCCTTCACCACAGGGAGTTCTGTGGGACAGTGCTGTTGCAGAGGCTCCAAAGTCTCAGAGGAAGGTTTTCCTTTCTCCAGCCCAACCAAGAGCCAGTCTATCAAATCCCCCTAGCAAATATTAAATAATCATCCCTATCACCAGTTGAAAGAAAGCATCTTGCGTTCTCATCTGAAAATGCCGCTCCAGGAGTAGAATTTGCTGTGATTGTTCAGAAACAAGACCAGCATGACAGCAAATGGAAATCCAGGCGTAGAACAGTATGAGAAGAAAAAATAAAACGTGGAGAGGGAACGTGGAGGGGCTCTTTTATGTATAGTGATGCTAAATAGGAAAGTTGGAGGTCTTCCCACGTGTGACCCGATATTTGAGATGGAAAATGTGAATTCTACCTCTGCGGAAGCCCGAATGCTCTTTTCCCAAAGGTGCTAAGAGACTGGGTTCCGCTATACATGAATTGTTCACGTTTCTGTGAATGTAAGAGAAATCTTCCAATCCCTGATCAACTGCTGCCCACCCCATTCTGCCCACAGGAGCAATCCTTCAGCGATCTAGGGGTCAAGTGCAAAGGGTCCCGGCACGAGGAGGTCATTCAGCGTCAGAAAAAGGCCTTATCTGAACTTCGAGCGCGAATTAAAGAACTAGAGAAGGCGCACGCACCAGGTAAATCTCCTCCTTCCTAGTCAGAGCAGCGGATCCCAGGCTCACTCTGGGGACTGACCAGTTTTCCAAGACTACTATGTTTTATCCGCATCATCCCAGAACTCAGAGGTCACTGTAATACACAAAAAGTTGGGCAGGCCATGATCTCAGAGTCAAGTGCAGGCCTTGATATTAAATAAGATTTCATGCACAACTCACTATTGTACTTTTTCTTTTCTTTTCGAGACAGAGTCTCGCTCTGCCACTCAGCCTGGAGTACAGTGGCGCAATCTTGGCTCACTGCAACCTCCACCTCCCAGGTTCTAGTGATTCTCCTGCCTCAGCCTCCCTAGTAGCTAAGACTACAGGGACTAGCCACCACACCCAGCCAATTTGTGTATTTTTAGTAGAGACAAGGTTTCACCATGTTGGCCAGGCTGGTCTTGAACTCCTGACCTCGTGATCCACCTGCCTCAGCCTCCCAAAGTGCTGAGGTTACAGGCGTGAGCTACCACTCCTGGCCTAGTTTTTCTTATTTCATGGTGGCTGGGTGAGAACTTTGTCATGGATGAATACTGTCTAAGGATCTATGTTGGAGGACCACTTAGAGTACCCCCTTTAGAGGGGATAGAGCTCTCCTAAGACTTGGGGCCCACTGCAGGCTAGGGCACTGGTCTAGGACCTGGAAGCCTGGGTTCAGGTTCTATCCTGGTTCTGTGGCTGAAGGACCTTAGCAAGTCCACCATCAATGGCCTCAGCACTGATACCTGTGCGGCTGCAGCCTCCTATGAGCTGGGTGACCTTGGCCAGGTCATTTAATCTCTCTAGGCCTGTGTCCTCATCTGCCACGGGAGGTCGTAAGGATTAAAACAGGCCTGTGTAACTGTCCCGTAAATAGTTGCTATGGTTATTACATGAAATAACTTCTTCCTGAGCCTTTCTTTTGAGTCTACTTTATTTGTTTTATAGATCATAAAGACCACCAGAATGAATCCTTTCTAGATTTAAAGAACCTCAGAATGAAAAGCAATATCCAGAAAATACTATTGGATGCAAAACCAGATTTGCCAACTCTCTCAAGAATAGAGATCCTAGCGGTAACCAACGACAATTCTCTCTGCTGTGACTGGCGTGTGGAGAGGAGGGGCCTGAGGGCAGACACTAGCTGGGTTCCCTGGCACAGCCATACATATCAGTGGTTCAGGGCCAGGTCCTTCCTCATGGGCTGCTGTCTATGCTCACTAGCTGGTGCCCCAACCATACCCATTGTCCAGGCTTTGCACAGAAAGGTAGCCTTATGCTTGTGCACAGCATGGTTCAGCATGGCATTGACATTGGGCCACATTGTCAATGGGCCAGCATGGCTGGCCCCCTTTGCAGATCATGTGTGATTTTATTTATTTATTTATTTATTTATTTATTTATTTATTTATTTTGAGACGGAGTCTCGCTCTGTCGCCCAGGCTGAAGGGCAGTGGCGCTATCTCGGCTCACTGCAAGCTCCACCTCCCAGGTTCACGCCATTCTCCTGCCTCAGCCTCCTGAGTAACTGGGACTACAGGTGCCCGCCACCACACCCGGCTAATTTTTTGTATGTTTAGTAGAGACGAGGTTTCATCCTGTTAGCCAGGATGGTCTCGATCTCCTGACCTCGTGATCCGCCCGCCTCGGCCTCCCAAAGTGCTGGGATGACAGGCATGAGCCACTACGCCCGGCCGATCATGCATGGTATTCTGCAGAACATGTGCAGCCGGCTAATAGATCATGTTATGCCATGAGTTTGCCTAAAGTTTGCTTTTTGCTGTCACCGGAAAAACACAAATACATAAAAGGCAGGAGAAGGGAGCCATGATTCAGAGCACACAAGTTCTAGAGTCAGAGGGTCCTGTGTCCAGATCCAAGGTCTGCAAGCTGTGTGACCTGGGGCAGCAAGGCTCTTGACCTTTCTGGGACTCCATTTCCCAGCTGTAAAATGATGACAAAAATACTGAAGGAGATAATTCTGGAAAGTGCTTAGCCTAGTG